AAAGACAAATGGATGTTCTGGTTGCTAAACATGACAAGAAAAAGCCCTGGTTCTGTCTGAAATTTTAACTGATACAGTACAGCCATGTACAGCCTCTGACCCCGCCTCCCACATTGCGTTCTCAACGGCCACATTGTTCACCTCCTTTTTTCACGACGGTGAACGGTGATGGTGACTGACTGTATCCCAATAGAAAGATGGGACAAAGTGACCAGCAACAGCGTGGGGATAAACAACAAAATCTCTAAGACAAAAGTCAAGTTTGGTGGGATATACATGAAACATCATGAAATGTCATGGAATATCATCCTGCATTTTAGAGCGAAACGTTAACCGATAAAGCAAGCAAACAAAGATTGACTTGTACCAAACATATTGGTGACTGAGTAAAAAAACTGTAAAAGATGTGCAGACTTTGTCCAACCATGTAGTGGTTCTTTCTCATTCAGAGTGATGATGAAGTCATCCAGTTGGTTACCTCCCATCAAGCACAATTTTTCGCAGTGTGTTCAAAATCCCGTTGTCATTCCATTTAATCCTGGTTGGTTAATGGGGATTCCCCACTGGATTATTCTAATCCCCAACATATTGGGTAGTATAATCCCCGAACTAATCATCAACCAGTTTTTTGAACACTGCTCAATTAGTGTTTTCAAGAGAACTTGCACCAACAGCAGCACCCAGATCGCGTCCCGTTTCGTCATCTTGCTTGGCAGACCTCAAGGTTCAACCCACGTTGGGAATTCCCGTGACAAGAGGAAAACCCAGATTCTTTGCGGATGTTTGTTGTGCAACTGATGGTTTTTCCTCTAAGAGCTATGGTGAAGTTGCCACGCTATCCGCTTGTCATCGGCCATTACCTCACAAAACGGTCATTCATCGCTATCTTGGACTTGCCCTTGCCATTTCAGATAAGTGGAGGGCAGTCAAAAATATTGAACAAACAAATCTACATGTTTCGCGTCGAAGAAACCAGGCAATGAAGGACCAAAGTCAGGGTTTTCCAACTGAGTAAAAGCGATTGTGACCAACCAATTTGGGATATGCCTGATTGCTCAAACATGTGTCCCCAGACCCTACTAGTCCAATTTCCGAATTTGAAGATCTCCAACTGGGATCTTCACTTGTTGAACGACATCCTAAATCAGCTAGATACGGGCAATAAATCTCCTCGTCATTGCGTGGTTGCTCAAGGGCGCGTTGGCAATAGAAATTGTAATTTGTTACATAGCTATAATTGCCCATTTATAAATGACTTACCAAGCATGGTGGATTTCCCATAGTCACAAAATCTGTGTGTGTGTGTCTGAGTCCTATTATCATGACTTTCACTATTATTACAGTATGATTACTATTATAATCATTATTTTCAATCTTTCTTTATACATATATATATATATATGGGTATAGTCCAGCCAAGAGCTGAATGCAGTGTTTCAGAACTTGCCATCGAAATATCTATCTATATTATAAATCTAAAATGTGTGTGTGTGTAGATCATAATAAATCTATGCAAATACATTAGGGCAACTCCCAATCCCAGGCACCACGATGCGCGCATCCGAGGCAGCAAGGCCCAGCCCAGCGATCGCTCCACGACGGCGAAGCCGGCGGCGAGCCACCCGCGACGCCAGGTTCACGCGGCGACTCGACGGTAGAGAACTGGATGAAGACTAAGATGCATATACTGGAATATATGTCATATATATATGTGTATATATATACATGTGTATATATATATATTCATATGTATATATACATATATGTGTTAAATATATATATATGTGTGTATATATATCATCATGTATATATATATATATCATGTATATATATATATATATCATCATGTATATATATATACATATACATGTATATATATATACATGTATATATATACATATGTATATATATACATGTATATATATATATACATGATGATATATATATATGTGTGTGTTAAATATATATATATATACATATATATATATATGTTATATATAGATATGTGTTGTGTATATATATATGTACTGTATGTGTTGTCATGTCTATGTCATGTTTATTATATATATATACATGATGGTGAAACAAAATATCTAATTCTTTCCGTGAGTTTGAGACTTGACGTTAGTTTTCATTGTCTCGTATTTTCCCAACCCAACATGCTGTTCTGAAAGAGGTGAAGTGGATCATTCATCTAGAGTGGAGGTCATTGGACACTTGGTGAAAGTGTTGTGGTTGGAAAGTCGCTTGTTTGCGACAAGGATTCACTGTGCTTGTCGTCATCCAGTCAACTTGCTTGAACTTTCCATGCACACTGACTGCGTTTTTCGCCAGACCAGCTCCAGGCAAAGTCCAATCAACAGTTCACATAATTGACTTGACTTAGATACGAGCCGGAAAGACATCTCACATTCACCCCGAGTATACTTGGATACAAGCAGAAATCATACCTACTTAACACCTCATGCTATCCTTGAGCCAAAAGAGTTCATGTCTCTCAGCATAGGTCAAAAGTTATCAAGTTGATCAACTCCCAGATCAACTCGTGAATGATTTCATGAAGGATTGTGGAAGCGAGAGAAAGGTCAACCATGATAGGAATCGGACATAACCAGCCTTGAGTGCGTGAACCAAATCTGCAAGGAAAAACATTCAAATTGGCACAGTATCCTTTTCATCTGTTTGGCAACCAAAAAGACACGTGCCATAGGCAATAGCGTGCTTTATTTCTCGCGAAGGTCCAATGATTCGCTGGCAATCGATGGCTGAGGGTCCTGGCTCAAGGTTGAGAAATGGGAAGACCATGGGAGACCGCTGGGAGACCTGTCAATGTTTGTTTCTGTTCCACAAAGGGGGGGATAAACATGGTTACGGCGTCTGTAGAAGTGCGGCGCTTTCAGCGTTTCTGAAAGTGGGCAATCGTCACTTTTTTTCATCTTCATGCGAGACGCCATGGTCCAACTCTGTTGTTGTGCTTTTTACAAAGCTTTCCTAACTGATCCCATAGGGAGTAGCCAGGAGCTAACACTTCGTGCAACCATTGCCATGTTAGGCAGTGTTTCATCAAGGCAGCTGTTGTTCCATGATGTTCCATGTGCATTTAATTTCCTTGAAGAGAGAGAGAGAGAGTACGTGGGATGTATGATTTCAGGAAGATGTTACAACGTATCAGGAACGTCTTGGAAGTTACTTGAAGAAGATGTTACAACGTATCAGGAACGTCTTGCAAGTTACTTGAAGAAGATGTTACAACGTATCAGGAACGTCTTGCAAGTTACTTGAAGAAGATGTTACAACGTATCAGGAACGTCTTGCAAGTTACTTGAAGAAGATGTTACAACGTATCAGGAACGTCTTGCAAGTTACTTGAAGAAGATGTTACAACGTATCAGGAACGTCTGGCTAAGAAGAAGATGTTACAACGTATCAGGAACGTCTGGCTAGTTACTTGAAGAAGATGTTACAACGTATCAGGAACGTCTTGGAAGTTACTTGAAGAAGATGTTACAACGTGTCAGGAACTTGTTGCAAGTTACTCAACCCCCCCAAAAGAAATTTTGCAAAAGTGACAACAGTCCCGCCCCTCCATGGGCGCCGTCACCATAAACATTCCTTTGAAGAAGTTGTTCTTCTACTCACCAAGGATGAAATCCGGTGCCTCTCCAGAACCTGACCCCAGTTGCAACTGAATATTATGGTACAATAATGGGCCATAATGGGCCTGCATACCAGCGGTACTCATCAAACTATGCACGTCAAACTGGCTTGCAACAAGCAACACAACAGAGGTTATTTAACTGATGGTTTCAGCCAACTCCATGCTGTTTTTTGGGCCCATTCGGCTGTGTTTATGTGTCCATGTCCATTGGCGATACCCCAGGCCGAAGGGTCCACTGCGAAAATAGACATATGAAATGAATTGAAATGATGGAATTTGGTGACCCCAAATGCAAAGGACTAAGTGTGCATATGTAGTTATATATACAGTATATATATATATATACATATGTATGTATACGTATTGCTGAATCAAAAAGCACCCAGCATGAATGGGGCCCAAAGTCTTTACTGAACTTGACACTTCGTCCTGGGATGTTGGAACCATTTGCCTCACAAACATCAGGGTTTCGCTGATGATCCTCGGGGTGGACTCAGG